TGCTACATAACAGGGATAAGCTCTAATCTCTGTCTAGAGGATCAGAAAGTGCATAAAAAGGAGGCACTTAAGGAAACCTGGAGTGAGAGTAATTTTGAATAGCATGGTGGTCTGCGTTTCTAGGAGTCAATGTGCATCGAAGCACGTCTGGCTGAAGGAGAATGGAGAAGGTGACTGCACAGGATGGGGTAGGGCCGGCATAGGACAACAGGCAGAAGGGGTCTGGGAAGAGAGTGCCACAAGCTGTGGTGCTTTGCGGTTTGCATGGCAATGAGTTCTGCAGGGCCCAGGTCAGCCCTGTCAGACAAGGACTTTGGAAGAACAGGACTGGGTCCCCTCGGCCCAGGCATGAAGAGCTCTCACAGAGGATCCCAGAGACAAAACCAATAGTACTTAGGCAGGATAAAGACTAAGTGTGTGGTCTCCAGAGCAGGCTCCCTGGGTTCAAATCCTGGGCCTGTCACTTATAAGCTGTGTGACCTTGGAGGAAGGTGTTTAACTTCTCTGTGCCTCAGTTTCCTCAGAATGAATGGGGAAGATACCTACCTCATAAGGTTGAATGGAAGTTAAATGAGTAAATATAGTAAATAGTAAGTAGTTAGCTTTTATTATTAACAGCTTTGTGGACAATGGAGCTCGGAGGTCCCACGGGTTGTATACTGGGGATGCTGGAGCAGAAGATGTGAAATAAGTGAGGTCTTCTTATGAGAGTTCACATGACCTGCCCCTGGGATCCTCCAGAAACTCTTAGAGGAGGATGGGGGTGTCTCTCGGTGGAAGCTAGAGCCAGTGAAAATTGAGCTCTTACAGCTAAAATGAGCCTCTGCCTCCTCAGGTTTGCAGGGCACTTCTGAGGAAGCCATGCTGTCCCAGTGAGTCGACTTTCTAACATGGCTGCTGGTTACAGGCCAGGAAATCATTGGTGCCCTGGTCACACTGCCTCTGGGGTCTGGGACCAGGTCTAGTGCCCCTAGGTGAGGGGGAAACAGGCTGGTATATGCCTAGAGGAGGGGCTGGGGGAGGATCTGAATACTGTCATGGGAGCAAAGCCTGGAGGAACTGTTGGAAGAGAAACTTGGGATGATGCAGAAACTGCCTTCCTGCATTGGCAGGTTTTCCCCCCACTACAGGCCGCTGTGGGAGGTAGAACTGAGGGAGAGTGTCAGTGGAGGCAGGCTCCAGCTTGACCAGGAAGCAGAGCTGGCCAACCATTGCAAAGGCTTCCTTGAAAGGTGGAAACTTATGGAACTACTACTACAGATTCCCAAGACCCACTCCAGGAGACTCAGGTTCAATAGGTCTAGATGGCAGAAGAATCTGGAATTTAACAAGAAACGAGGTGACTAAGGACTCATGCTATTCAGAACTTTGTCTGCCTTGGAGGAAGGGGCTTAGATTTGATTTGAGGTCCCTACTAGCTCTGGCAGTCTGTCATTCTGTGATCCCCTAAAGTCGTGGACTTGTGTCCTGACAGCTTTTATTGCTGTCTGAACCATTTGGTTACAGGCTCATCCCTTGAGCCCTTCCGGTTCAAGGACCAGCTCAAATACATGCTCAGGACAGAGCCTCACCAAGTGCATTGTTCAGAAGCTTTATTTCTTTGTGGGCTTCTGATTAGGCACCTCAAAAGTGTGTGTGTGTGTGTGTGTGTGTGTATACACAGGAAGAAAAGCAGGATCAGCTTTTGTGTTTTTGTGTGAGTAGGCCTTAGTTCATTCTTGTGTCGATGATGGGAAATAAGGGTTGGGACTAGAGGAACCAGAAGGAGGGCTGGACCCCGGGCAGCTGTCAACTAAAAGGATGCATTATTCTCTGCCTGCTTCACGGGGTGGGAATTCATACGGCACCAGGAATTCCAATTGAGTCCTCCTGGTCAGTCTTGCTTTTCTGGCTGTCTAGCTTCCACTGCTCCTAGGGACTTGGGCTCCAGCCCCTGGAGCCTCCAGCCCAGCTGGAGACTGTGACTGCCTGAGAAGCCCAAGGCAAGTCTTCTGATGGGTATAAGTAGGGAGACACTCTTCATTGTTGATGCCCATGGGCTCCTGGGGAACAAGGGAGGCTAGTACCTGTCAGTAAGGGCAGAGAATAAAACAGTACTAAATATGACATGGCTTTCAGTCTGGGGTGAAACGTGCCCTAGCTCCATGGTCCCCAAGGCCAAAGAAGGCACTCAAGACTGAGCTGAACAGAGTGGCAGCCACTAACACTTCCCCGGAGGAAGAGATCAGGAACCTGAGGCAAGTTAACAGGCTCACGTGAGTTTTCTTGACCAGGATGTAGAGTAGCTGTAACACAGGCCCAGCTTGGTCTTACTCCAGAGTCTACATTCTTAAGTCCTGTGCTAATGGTCCTCCCTCTCAGGACTTGAGCATCCTGGCTCCAGCTCACCTGATTTCCTCATGGATCCTTCTCCAGCCAGGCTCTGGCAATTCAGAGGCTATTGGTACTGCAAACAGTCCTTTATTGTATGGAGTTTCCATGAGCACAGAGACAGAATCACAGCATTTGAAGAAGCTTCAGAGATCATAGAGGCCCAACCCATCATGTTATAGAAGTCTGGTTCTGACTCACAGGGACAGTGAACTTGTGGGGATCTGGGATCTGGAACTCCTGCTGTTCAACTAAGTCTCCCTGATCCTTGACTGTGTGGTGAACTCATGGATGCCTCCTCCTGTTTGGCCATACCTAGAAATACACCCTGACCCAGTGGAATGCACCTACATGAAATTTGAAGTCATGATGGTCAGAAAGGCCAACTGGCTTATGTGCTGTTTTGCCTTGTATCTCCTGAGGAGAGGATTACAGGATCTTTTACTTAGACAGGTTTGTAACCAAGAGGAACAGAACTCAGTGTAAAAAATTTCTTTACTGAGAATGGAGCTGCATCTTTGCCAATCTTTGATTTTTAGTTTTTTAAAAGAATACTTGTCTTCTTGGGGCACAAGGCATGGCAGCTGCTTGGGGGAGCTGTCTAGGAATCAAGAGCTAGATTTTGCATCAGAATCTGGCTTAAGGGCATCATCATTGTTAGTGAAGTGGAAGAGGCTAGGAATGACCATGGCAAGAAATAGTCCAGGGCTGGGGATTAGGGATGCTACTGGGACAGAACCCAGGAAAGTCATGACCTGAGGAGAGGAAGCAGTCACATTTGAATCCAGATGTGGGTGTTTTGCTCTGTGTTGTCATTTCCTTCTGTAATCTCCAAGCTATTGGGAGATTAACCAACTTTTTGTTGGCTAAACCTCATAGTCCACTGTTAGAAGTGCTTTGGGGTAATTGAAAGTGTCCACGCTTGGTGAGGAGCAACAAAAGGAAAGAGGCAGCAGAAGAGCACTCAGTTTGTGGGGGGCCCGACATCATGCACAGAGGGGCAAAGGAGCAACCTGGAGCCTCTAAAAGCAACTGACAAGCAGTTCCCATCGAGGCACAAGATATTCCTGGGGAAGAGACTCAACAAAACTCTGAGCTGGCTGCCTGCAGCCAAAGGCACAGGGGCTCAGTGCACTGTCATGTAGAAATTCGAGGACCATCTCGATCCCTCCAACTGAGGATATGGAGCTAAAAGAGGCCATTCTTTTCCAAGTATTTATTATCTAAGTTCCCACAGCTGTAATGTGTAAGAAAATAAATGTCATCATAACATGAAAATACTCACTAATCTGCTTACTTATCAAATTAATGCTCAATCATACATTCTTCCCTCACTTAACCAGTGTCTGTCCCTTCTGGCTGAGGTCAGCAAGGATGACTGTTGGATGTAACTGGAGGTCCAAGATCGGTACAAACCAACTGCAAGGCTCATGAAGTCAAAACAGTGGAAAACTTCATGTGCCAGGTCTTGGACCAGTGATGAGTGGACGGAGATGGATCAGTTAAAAAACGAAGGAAAAAATCATGAGGATGAGGTAATAGAGCTTCTTCACAAGAGAATGATTTCAATGTTGAGGGACTGGAAGAGGTCCTTGGGAAAATAAATGAAGCCCTTAAATATCAAGCAAAGAATCTCTTAATAAAGGTGCTATGAAGTAAAATGTAAAGGATGTGGTCCATGTGAACAGATTATTTTGTTGGTATGGAAATTAAATATGCCAACTCCAAAATCCACACACTTCATTAATTCTTTGTTCATTCTAAAAAGTAGCATATACTCTATATTATGTTACTTTGTGATAGGTATAACTAAAAATAACTTGTTTTCATAATTTTCTTTGTATAATACAATCTCAATGATACACTTTAACTATCTTCATCATTTCCTTTTTTATAATACAATTTTGCTGAAAATCTTTTCCACTTTTAACTGTGAAATTTTGATCTTCATTTTAAGTGGACTCAGTAAAAATGACCTTTTGCTGGTGCTGGTGCAAGGTGTATGACCCTGACATGACTAGGCCTTCTGTGCTGATGGTTCTCCAGGTCTTTCTCCATTCTAGGAGGGTACCTACTTGGGGTGGTTTGACTTTCCAGGAGGCCTCAGTCATACACAGCCTAGGAGTTTCTACTCTCAGGATTCACGGGGGCCTCAGTCAATTCAATGAACTTTGGGTATTTATTCCTCAGTGTAAAGCCACACACCTTACCCAGGTGCCCACTGCAGCCTGCACAGGCTGTCAGCAGCACTCTTGCTAGGCCAGGTACCATGGCCTCAGCCCAAAATGCTTGGCTTGGGCCCAGCCAAGCAAGCTGCAGGCAAGGAGGGCACTTACTTGGCTGGCAGGGCTCTGGGCTGCCTGTGGCTCTCCGGGGGGCTCCTCATCCTCAGGAATGTGGGGCATGGCAGCCTCCTGGCAGGAGTGGCCACGTATGCCTGGAAGTTCCTCTGCGTCAGCCCCAAAGATGCTCCAAGAGGCCTGGGCTCCGCAGGCTGAGGAGACGCCAAAAGGACAAGTCAAATCCGTTCCTATCCCTGATCCAAGCAGGGTTCAGTTTCCAGGAGCTATGAGCCAGAGAGAGCCTGCCTGAGTTTGCATCAACACCGGAGGTTGGACTAGGCTAGGAGAGGGCATTTGGAATAGCATTTCCTCCTGTTCGCTGGCTCTGTTTATAAAGTTAGACATGACCTTAGAGATTTTGCATCTAATTTGGTCCTTAAAGTAAACACAGCTATCCCAGAAGGGAGAAAAGTGCTTCAGACTCCTCAGAGCCATAGCTTATGGCAGACCTCCATTAGGATCAGATATGTACCCATGTACCATTTATTGAGCACCTACTAAGTTCCAGGCACTATCTAGGAGCATTGCCAACACCACCTCATTTAATCCTTGTGATGACCTCTTATACAGGTATTAATTTTCATGTCTTATAGATGAAAGAACCACTTCTGAGAGTGGCAGCACTTGCCCAAATCATGCAAAAAAAAACTAGCATTTAAATCCAGATCTTCCCGATTTTGAGGCCAGGGCTCCCTTCCAGTATACCACACAGGTTTGACTGGGTCAGGGAAGAGGGAAGGATAATATTTCCTGACTTCTTGTCCCATTAATGACCTCACACCCTTCAGGAACTCTTCTGACCTTTAGTATGGGCTCTCTCACTCAAGGATAGCCCTCATTGGTCCTGCCAGCCTGGTAAAACCATGTTTTTGGAAGGTCAGCTAAGGTGGATCTCATGTGACTTGTGCAGTGCTTACCGCCATCTCTGATTACTTTCCCAGAAGCCAGGTTTATCCCATCCACATTGGATAGCAACCTTGAGGCCTGGCTGGGATTAACCCCAAAAACATAATCTCATCTATCTCACCAGTGATTGGTTCAGGGATAGGTAATAGATCCAGCATAAGCTAATGAACACACAGCAGTGTTCTGGGACCCAGGTGCTTTATCTTCTGGGTGGTGGAGTGTGCAGATGTCAGATCTAGTGCTGCTGCCACCATTTTGTTTCCATGAGGTAAGCAAGACTCAAGATAAAACTGACACACTCGGAGGGGACAAAGCCAAGATACAGAGAAAATAACCTAGAGTTTTGATGGAAAAGTTAATCTAAAGCCTAAACTCTTTCTAGGCTGGCCAGTTACATGAACAATTACATATTTTAGTGTTTAAGTCAGCTTTGGTTGGGTTAACTTATACCTACTTGTACCAACTTTTAACTACTAACTACTGTTACTTGTAACTACCAGTTGCTCTTTCATGTGTCTTGTCAGTCAAGAGGCCTAGGACCATGATCTCTCCAACAGACCTGAACTACTGAGTCTAGGTCCTCTACTTCCTCTTAAAATTAAGACTAGTAATGTCAGGTCTCCACTTGGACATTCAGGATAACTGTAGAAAGAGCACAAGCTTTGGAACATATACCTGGATTTGAGTCCCCACTCTGCCATACTAGCTATGTGACCTTTTACATTGGTTTCACCTCTGAGCCTTGGTTTCCTTATTAGGGGAACAGAGATAAGAATGCCTCCCGTGCAGGGTTGTTTCAAGGATGGAATGATATAGACCACCCAACATGGAGTAGTAGGTGCTCCCAGAGGCCACCTGCATGGAGGTCTGCAGCCCAGGAAGCTTGGCTAGAGTCCAGAGGCCTCTGTCTGCCCACTTCCCAACCTTATACTCCTTCAGATTCCCTTCCCTTTTCCTAGTAGGGTGGGAAAGGACCTGCAGAACCCCAAATCAGCTCTATCAGATAATAGATGAAAACTACTGGATGCAGATGTTATCCTCAGACTGTCCTCAGCCACAGCCAGGGGGCTGCTGGGATACACGGCAGGAATAGAAGACACTGTCATTTACTCTGTAGGAACATAGTACCTACTATGTCGTGGATCATATGCAAGGTGCTGACTGCTAGAGGCTGAAGGAGGAGGAGTCAGAAAGCCCTACCACTTTCATGATTCTAGATATTCTTTCTGTCCCCAGAAAAAGCTCAGAAAGGACCCAGAGCAAGAATGCTACAGGTAGTGTCAGATCTGGCACCAGCCACAGCTCTGATGGACAATGCTACCCAATGTACACACCTCTGACTGAGCTCCCTAGGCAGGCAAAGGGCCTGATTCATTATGAATAACCAGAAGATTCATTTAAAAATGCTTGTTGATCTTTAGCCTTGGTAGTTGGCCCCTATGATCACCATCTTGACTTTGGTCACTCTCTGCAATAGAAAGGTAGCCCCTTTCAACACTGAAACAGTTAGGGTGACCCCTGCTGGTTAACCCAAGAAATCTCACCTCAAGTAGAACATCCATGAACTGAGTGATTCATTTGCCGCAAACACCTACTACCAGGTGTTGGTGATTTAAAGATGCTGAAGATGTGGTCTTGGCTCTCAGAAAGCACAGAGACCAGTGGTGGGAGGCAGTAGGAAAATAGTATAATGGAGTAAATACCTTTGAAAGTGTGAAGTTGCAGGATCCCAGAAAAAGGTCCTTCACTATGGAAACTGAGGCAAGTGGGATATAGTTTTAATAAAGATTCCACATAAGAAATGGTGTTTGAGCTGAGCCATGAACACAGAAGTGCTGAATAGAATTTCTATGAATGGAATAGCTGGAGGCCTAAAGGAAGAGGTGAAACCCTACTGGATAGATTTAATCTGGCTCTCTGGAATAAGAGCTATGGAGCCATGGCACTCTGTGTCCCCCACTACCGAGTGTTTACTGTACAAATAAATTGAGCACCAGGTTTCCCCAGAGATGAGTAATTTCTGTCACTTTTACTTGGACTTCAGCAGCAGTAACATCACTGGCTCTGGGCAAACTACATGGTAACAGAGGTTGATGGTAGAAAAGAATATCCACAGACCCCAATTCTACCAGGGAAGTTGGCTACATCTCCCAAGAAACCTCCTAAAATGATGTGTGATGTATGTGCAGGTGCACGCTGTCTTAATAAGAGTATGGTTTCTAAAATATGGAAGGTGACCATTCTACTTTCCTTTATGTATTAATCTCAACAAAATATATGTGCTCTGAATGCTATGAAGGATTTAGATAAACTGGGGCATATTTAGAAAGGGGAAGCAACATGCAGAGGGATAGAATTTATCTTTAAAGAACTAAAGACCTTTACCCTGGAGAAGAGAAAGTGTGGGGAGAAATAAAATCTCTTCTCAGATATTTGAAACTCATTTCTGTATTTCTGTTGTCTCCAAAGGATAAATGCATGACCAATAACTGAAAGGTCAGATCAAGGCAAGGGAAAACTCTCTAGTAGTTGAAACCACCTGAGGATGAAACAGGCTTCTCTTTAAGGTAATGAGCTCTGGACTCCTGGGAGAGTTCCAGCAAAGGCTGGGGCAAGAATCATAGGATTCCTAAATTCACTTCAGCGGCCTTTTCAATCTTGAGAGTCCTTGAAATCCTGGGATCTTCCTAGTCACAACACACCACAGACATGATGGTCCCATCCCATAGGATTCAGGAACATAGTGTTCCAAAGTCACATCTGAAACATCTTCTTTTCTGACCTTTCACTTTCCTCCACCTCCTGCTCCTCAAGAAAGACCTGAAGTCAGTCCCTGGGTCAGAAAGCAAAGTAAAACAGAAGCCAATTAAGTGAGGCAAGCACAAAGAGATGTCAGCTGCTACAGGATAAAGCAGAGTGGAGGCTGGCTGAGGTCCCACACTTGACAAGACAGGATCGCGTGCTCCTCGGGGAGAGCCCTGGCAGTCCTGCCTGCTGAGGCCATTCCCATGCTGCTTCACCCCATTTGCTTTCCCTCCGATCCTTTATTATAAACTCACTGCTTAAAATAGCAAGGTAAAAGCAGAGTCCCTCCCCCAGGGTGACATCTGGGTTCCGTTGGAGCTCACGGGCACACAGAACTCGGATCTATTGCAGCAGAGTTAGGAATACAATCTCCAGGAAGTGGTGATCTAGAGCACTGACCCATAAAAGGAAAAAAATATTTAGGAATGTTTGGTCTCCGAGCTGCTCTTTCTTTAACCCATTTTCAGGGCTCTTGTTGCTGCCTCTCCAGCCTGGTCAGTAAAGGGTTAGGTGGGTCATTGCCAAAAGCCAATCAGCAATTTGAACTCTACTCATTCGGCCCACAGCCAATGAAGCAACATACAGCTTGGCCCATTTTACAGGAAGGAAAACTAAGGTGCAGAGAAGGGATGCAACTAGACTGGGTCCAGTTACTTTTGTACTTGGCACAAATTATCTAAGCTTCTGCTGGGATATCTGTCCAATCATTTGTATAATTGAAAAGGCCAGAAGTCTCTAAAAGTCCCTAAACCATATATAAATATTTTATCTGTCCCTGGCCATGCTCATAAAAGAAAACAAATGAATATACTTTTTTTCATTCTTTCATTCATCAGATAGTTCTAGTTTGCCTTCTGAGTACTGGATACTATGCTAGGTGTATTTCAAGTGCTATCTTGTTTAACCCCCATGAGATGGGTTTTATTATTTCCATTTTATATATTAAGAAACTAAAGATGAGAGAGGTTCAGCAACTTGCTTGAGATCACACAGCTAATAAGTGGCTGGCCAAGGATTATAACCCAGGCTAGTCTCATTCCAAGGCTCATCATCTTTCTCTTCTTTATTTTACCTCCCCTGCCAGGGGTTCTGCAGCAGAACAGAGGAAGCAGCCAGTTATCAGGCCAGGGCAAAGGAGTGGGCCCACAATTTGAGGTTGCAGGAGTCCCACTGTGGGGTGGCAAATCTACCCATTCATCTGTCTGTCAGTCCATCCATTCACACACTTGCCTTCTGACTCTTCCATTTACACAACTGTCCTTAGTTTGCCCATCTGATATCTTACCCGTAAAACTCCCATACTTGTTAGGTCAACACCATAGCTCTGCATTGGGAAAGGCCACTGTAGGACCCTGTGGGTTGTGGAGAGAGGGTGGGAGGGAGGAGAGGACTGCTCTGACAGAGTGGCCATGTGGGCAGAGGCATGCCCATCCACAACTGGTGAAAACCCTCCTGCACACCTCAGCCAGTGGTAGGGGTGGTAGCTTGTTTTAGGGGCCACCTGTGTGGCAATGGGGGACCATCATCAGGAACAACCATGGGGGCCATCTTCAGGAGTCATGATTCATCAAAGGCCTTTACATAGACCATCCCCTTCAGAGCTCTTAGCAACCCTATGAGGCGGGTAACAGAAATACTATTACTATTAACGTTATGATTAGACCCATTTTACAGATGAGGAAACAGAGGCCCAAAGACTTGCCCAACATCATATCACATATGAGTGGCAGTGCCAGAGGTCAGCTGCAGGTCTCACTGACTGCCCAGCTCCTTGCAAGGCCAAGCCAGCCAGCGCGCGAGTGGCATTCTTGGCAAGCAGTGGCCTCTTACAATGGCCCTAAGGATGCTTCTCCCAGTGCCTAGAGACCAGCCCAAAGAAACCAAATCCATCTCTGAAACCACTGTGTCCCAAGAACCCAGTCTACAAGCTAAATGACTCTCATATTCTCTGTTAATCTTTGGGCGCTGGGGAAGAGCCGGAGGCCCTTCTGGGAAACAAGAGGTTAATCTGGACTCCGCTGACCTTTCTGGAGTGACTCAGAATTCTCAGAAGGGAGTTTTTTTGTTCTTTCAGCTTTGAATTTTTGCTTTCATTTTAGCAGCACAAAGAATTTGAAAGAGATTAGGTTGCTATTAATACCACTGGGCTATCTCTAGATGAAGAATTTGATGGAGGGAATTGTTTGGGGTGATTGTACACACATCTCTCTTAGTCCCTCTGCAAATTCAGAGGGTGACAGGGATGACCACTGGAGAAGGGCCAGTCCTGCCCCCTGCTCCCATTTTATAGACAGGGTCAAGGACTTAATCAAAGCCGCACCTGTGAGTGAGAGGCAGAGAAGGTCCCAGAACCCCTGCTTCCCAGGCCCCGCAATACATGTTAGCTTTCTGTCTCTAATTTTGAAGGGCTTACTTATAGTAAATAATAAGTAATTGTGTTCATGCTGTGAAAGAAAGTATCCTTTGGCAGTGCCTCCTGATCTTTCTTCCGCTCATGGAAGAGAGGATACTTCCTACCCCCTGCACTCGCCCCAGCAGTCCTGGACACACTGGAAAAATCACCACAGGCATCAGAGATAAGCTCAGAGTGCTGAGAGGCACCTCTGCAGGGCCCTGGGCCTGGCCAGCTGCAGAGCTTGGTCCTATACCCACAAGTGAGCCCTAGTAGGGGTCCACCTTGGGATAGCCCCATCCTGCTTCCTAACCTTGGGGTGCTGCCACAGGACTTTGGAGCTTGCAGACTAGGTTCTGATTCTATGCTTGTTTCTTGCTGGATTAGTCTCCCCTGGCCTCAATTTCCTGATCTGTAAAATGTGGGTAGCAGTATCTACCTTTTAGGTTGGTAAGGATTAAATTAGGAAATAGAAGCAAGACTGTATCTGAACACATAGCATGTACTCAATGAGTCCCTTCCCCATTCTTTAAATAGGTCAGCTGAGTTATCTGAACCATGGCATTCTCAAAAGCCAACCAGGCCCAGATAGTCTGCTGATCATTCTGGAGACCAGAGTCCCTGGATTTATCTCTTGCAAGTAAAGGAGACACAGTCCTGGCTAGGCTAGGGCCTCCCCTCTGTACTGACAAATAAGTAAAAGACCAAAAGATATGGCTGGGATTAAACCCATTTTGGGCCATGCACTGTGGTGATACTGATGTTCACTCTGCTGTTGGGCAGCCAGGGCTGCAGGTGATGGGTTTACAGAGAGTACAGTACTGTGGTTATCCCAGATATGTGCTGTGGTCAGTTCTGGGGCAGCAAAGGCGGGATGTAGAGGGCAGATGAAAGAAGCAACAGAGAGGGGAGGATGAGAGACTGGAAGGGACTTCCCCGATGACTTCTTGCCCCAGGACAATCCCTCTGGCCCAGGGGCTGGGAACACAGGGACTGTGGCCTAGTGGTGCTTCAAGGCTGGCCCTAAGTGGTCCCCAACACCCCCTGGGGTCTGTACTTTCTGGCCATGCTCTCTAGTCCTGGGATCTCTTATCTGCTCTGTTGGCTGGGGTGCCTTCATCCCCTGACTCAGATCTCATCCTAGCCCTGGGAAGGAGCCAGCATCTGTGCAGACCAGTGCCAGAGCCACATCCAGGGGGACACACTGGGTTAACTCCCAGAGGAAGACTGCAAGAGGGGGCACCGCTGAGCTCAGCGGGGGCTTGGGGTGTGGGACACACAAGAGAGAAAGCAGGTTTGAAAGAGTAGCTGACCCCTCACTTCCTCTCTTATCTCTTCCCCCACCCACCCATTGCCCTTTCCTCACACAAACATTGAGGCCAGTCTGTGCTCATTGCCTTGGGGAGGGTTGTAGCCACAGGAGGTAAAGAAAAGGGAGTCCAACTCTGCCTTGTATGTTCAAAGGGCTAGCCCTTAAGGAAAGGGAAAGTGCTCGGGCATAGGAAAATGATTTGGAAAAAAGCATCCTAGTAAGAGGAAATCCCTCTGCTACGTGCAGAAAAAGATTATGGGGCAGGTGCAGTAGAAACAATGAGAGGTAGACTCTGGGGAGTCTCTGAGAAAGGGGCCTGTGCACCTCCTGGGGAGGTAGAAAAAATCCCTTAATCCAAGAGCAGAGAAGTCTTGGACCCTATTTCCCAGACAGAATCTCCAAGGAGGAGACCCCAAAAGAGGAAATAGCTATTTGGTATGACTCTATAGTTAAGTCATTCAGACATCCTTGTGAGGTTTCTGTGTGCAGGCATTTCTGTGTAGCCAGGAGCAGAGAGTTGCCAGACCTGACAGAGTCTTAAGTGGGCTGATTCAGAAAGTTACTGACAGAAAGCATGATGGTCACCTAATCAAATGCGGGCCAGGACAGATGACAATGAGTGCTAGGGTACCTTCCTCACCCCAACTCCCTGGCACCTGGGAAGCTCATTTGACTTTAGATACCACTCTGGAGGAAAAGGAGGGTTGGATAAACCCTGAAATTCCTGGTATTCAGACTCTACACCCCCTGAAAAATGGTCAAGCTGGGGCCAGACCTCCATCTACCCCGCTCCTTCACCCCCACCCCAGCCATGACAGGAAGTAAGCCAGAACATCTCCCCAGGTTTCCTCTCCAGCTTGTTCACTTCAGCAGTTCTTTTTTTAAAAATAAGCCAACTTGAAAAAAATGTTCACTTCTTGGAAATATGTGCAATTACTCAATCAGAGGCAGTTCAAAGGCACTGGGAGCAGCAGAAAAGCATCTGAGGCTTTCATTTAGCTCCCAGCAGAAATAAATCTTGCCCAGTTCTCTTTTTTCTAGGCCATCCAGCACCCTCTTCCCTGAGTCACTCATTCCAGGGTGACATGAATCACCATTGTGGGGTCAAGGACCACACGGTGTGCCTGGTCTGTGCAGCTGACCAGGACACTGAGGGGCCATCAGAAAGAATGGAAAACCAAGAAACACCTCCTAGGTCTGGGTCCTGGCTCTGTCCTTCCAGGTATGTCCTGGGGACTCCTTCAGCCTTTCTGAGAAGGAGGTGGATTTCTTGTCCCTTCCAACCTGTACTTTGTTGGAGCTT